AGAAAGAAAAGCAGTTTTAGAACAATTATTATTCAGGACGACAGAATAAGGTTCGTGAGTAAGGTTTGCATTTATTTCCAAACCAATTATGTATTCAGATAAAGTAGAGGATAAACGCATTTAGCTTTCATCCTTGAGATAGGTAAAAGCGGTGGCTTTATTTTTTCAGATTATTGGGGACAAAACTAGTAAGAAGCCCATAAAATACGCCTTAGTATTTCAATTTCTATTTATTTTGCAATTTAATACATCGGCAAAATGCCCTTGGGCTTTTCCATGGTTTTGCTATGCTTTTTATGAAAGGTGGAATATTTGAATGTACAACGAAAGGTACTATTGAGATTCAAACAGTACTCACAAGGAGGCTCGAAACGTTGTAGACTTTTGGAGTGAAAACGGGACTGCGTACACAGTTCATTGTCAGCTCTCCGGCGACATCATCATAGTCGATTGGACAGACAAAGTGGTTATGCCGTACCAAACAGGAGCTGAGAACTACGCCCAGTACCAAAGTCGAAAGGCCACCTCCGATAAAGCCCTCCCATGTCTTCTTTGGCGATAGCTTTATGAGCGGTGTCCGGCCAAAAAAGAAGCCAAAAACATAGGCCATGATGTCGTTGCAAATCACCATGGAGACGGGTATCAGGAACCTGATGACAATGTTCAGAATGAGAAAATAAAATACCAAAAGTTTAGGTAACTATCTTTTGCTCAAATCAAAGCGCATTATTATATTCGCTCTGATAATAGAATTATCTTGTACCGTAATTATTTGGCACTTTGATCACACATTCAGGCCTGTGAACTGAATACAAATAGGAAAATAATGATAGCTAGATAGTGATGCATGGCTCTACTAATTATATGCTTAGCTATTTGACCGTAAAGAATATTGTAAATCTAAGATAATTAAATGAAGATAATAATATTAATAATGACTAATTTTTCGAAAGTAAAGACGTTAAGCCACCAATTCGTAAAGGTTAAAATCAGGTGCAGTAAAGGATTAATAGAACATGGCTTAATATTGGGAACAAACTGTAGTTCATTAGATCGTAGATAAGAAAACCAAGCTGGTGTGATTTTCTGTCTGGTCGCAGCCTCTTTTAGCATTATAGTGTCAATGATCAGATGCTGGAAATCCCGAATACTATGGTAGAGGGCACAGGATTAGGCCTGTTCCACAGTCTCCCCCGACACTCTGACCAAGTTGCGAAAACGAGGACGAACCAACACTATAGTTCATTAGTTTGTACTAAAACTTAAAATAAAACCACAAATGTGCCTAGAGAGAATATCATATTTTAATACCAATCAATTACTTTTGCATGCTCCCTAATGATAATTCTAATTTAATCAGATATAAGCAAACGCCAAAACGTATTTGGAACATGGAAGCTATAATATTAACAATAAATGGCTAATAGATAGAATACTGTTCAGCCACATAGCTTATGACGGAAATTGTTGATTTAATCGTTAGGGCAATGTAAAGAAGGTATACTTTATTGAAAATTCTAAATTTTAGCGCACTGTCCGAAAAGTGAAACAAACGAGGGGCATTGTTTCAAAAGGTCGATAATACAAATTTGGCAGCTAAGGGGATTTTTTATCATTCTTTATCCATATTCTGTAAGCAGAAAGAATCAGGAGGGAGCAGTTAACCCGATAAATCAACTTGACAATAATAAATAGCTACTTCACATTCAACGGCAACATCTATGAACAAATATATGGACTTCCTGTGGAATCACCACTCTCACCTCTTGGCAAACGTATATATGAACAAATTAGAAGAGGATTTCAAGATTTCATCGCTACGATCAATAGTGCTCATGCAGTATATGGATGACTACTTCGCAATTTGCTCGCATGGAGGAGAAAAAGTATCGATTTCCTGAAATGTATAAACTAAGTTGATTAAAGGATCAAATTAATAATAGAAGTAGGAGACACTCAAGAGGAAAGTGTTCAGCAAGAAGTGATGCGCCGGGATAATACTCCATTTCTATTCTCATCATAACTAGGCAAAAGATGGGAATAAAGAGTATGATCAACCGAAGCCTAGATAGTCTGGACACGAAATCAATTGGAAGGCAACAGAAGAAGGGCCTCATACGGTGAAAACATAAAGAAACAGAAGATTATGGATAGGGAGGAAATCGATATCCTTGCTGAAATTAATTTAATGAACAGGATATTGAAAAAGGGCAGAGTTAGTCATAACTTTGCCTATTTCTTGAGCAAATAAGGATACAGCAAGACTAGCAAAGGATCACAAAGAATAAGCGGGTTAGGAGCATTTTAAATCAAGAGGAGACGCCCTCAGTGAGTATATTTTATTCGGGGGGGAGGACAAGCAGTCACAGGAACACGAAAACGAATAATCACAGCCACCACCAAATTGACTAGAAATTCACTCGAAATTCAGTGAGAGAAGGGACAGACTTTCACAGTTCGCTCAGATTATAATGGTTGAAACAGAGATAGCCGGTCGATACAATGTCAGATATCTGCATGCATTGATATCAGAGCCTATGCGCTCTGTTGAGCGATATCACCGTATAGGATACCAAAGGTTTGTGGCAGACCATGATAAAAAGCGCCTGGAGTAAAACGTAAAATGTGACTGGAACCGAGCGAAATCAGTCAGACGGTGAGATGAGAAACTAATCTTTGGGGCCATGGGGGAAATTCGGATAGGAGGTCAAAGTCGGATTAGGGATTCCGGCAAATCGAGAGGCAGGGGCGGCAAGGTGAAATAGCAGGTGATAAAGCCCAACCAAATTCTCCCAAAAAGATAAAGCTCTGGAAGAGTAGAATCTAAAAAAATCACAAGTTCTGATAGCGAAAGTGAAATATGAGGATAGGGAATGAGTAAATGTAAAAGGACACAAGGAGTGATAACACAATTATTCAGCAGAAGGTTGATCAAGAGCTTGAATTTACTTGTCGCTTTGACGAGTTGTAGCTTGGTGCTAAGAATGTCAAAACTCACTGACGATGCGGATGAAGCGTCTGGGAGTGTACCAAGTCCACGACCAAAAGGTCGGAATTATCATAAATACTATACAAAAGGACTTTGGACAAAGTGTGTCCAACTAGGTCACTCTGAGAACATTATTAAGTTACAAAAACAGTATCCGACCACTTTTATAGTTAATATAGCTTATTGTGTATCCCTAAATCTTTCAATTCACGGGACAACTTCAAGGTAGCACAGACATAATAAATAGATAATTCCAATAAAATAGAGAATCTTCATCATCTTCAAGCTGACTCTAGGCCAGGCATCTAGACACATTTATAGCAGAATTTCCGACAAGGCAAACCTGTATTGTGCTATTTTGATCGACTACGCTAACTATACTCATTTTGCTGTAGTCTCGAAATATGCTTAATATGGATGTGGTCAATTGGAATGAGGAAATACAGGTGTGCCTTCCTGACAATTCTGTTAGAAATATGATGGGGAAGTGACCCGACTTGCCTTCTGTCCTTTGATCCACTGATATCCAAGTAGTGTGGCACAGTGTTAAAATGTCAGAATGGTTTCAATTCCCGCTGAGAATTCCAATGAGGCCC